ATTGCACAATGTGGGAAAATGTCACCGTTTTGGTTCCTACTCTCTTTTAAATTTGGGGCTCAAGTTTTGATTCATGATTTTTTGACACATATAGCATTACTTTATAAAGTCAATAGCCACTACATCTAATAACATACAAATTGCTGTGATGGACTCAAGACACAGGGCTTATTTCTTTCAACCTTATCTCACCTTTGTGGAACATGTCCCTTTTATGCTGACAGTAAGGTCTTTCACATGTTTCAAAGGCCCTTTTATCTGTTTTGCCACTTGAGATAACATCATGTAAGAATTTGCCTGGAGAACAATGGAGACATCTGGAGAGCTGGAAACATCCGGCATTCCCTTCAGTACGGTCCATTCAAGGTGGCTCCCCATTTTGAAGATGGGGAAATTGAGGCACATATAAATTAAGTGATTTGTTGGAAGTCACCAGTAGTGAATTTAAGTCTAGTGTTTGCTCCATTCTCCGACAGTACTTATGTTATTTTCTAGAAAATGAGACTGGAAACAGATAAGATCAGAATCCAATTGCCATTCAAAGCTAATGATCTCCCAAGACTGTCAGTACAGTACTGTACTGTAAGTGCAGTACAGCTTATAGCAATGAAAGGAGTCTGGCAAGTCGTTATGTACATTCTGGACAAGTCCTATCTAATAGAACTTTTTACAGTGATGGAAATAATCTACATCTGTGCTGATCAATACAGTAGCTACTTCTGTGCCTGCTTGATCACTTGAAATATGGCTCATGTGACTGGGGAAATGAGTTTATACTGTATTTAAATTTAAAACCCTGCATGTGCTAGTGGCTGTTTATTGAATAGCACAGTTCTAGACTTACTATGTTCTTGGTGTCCTTATGTTCAGGACTTCTTGGTGACTCCACTAGAGTGTCTCAAAGTTAATTACCAAGGTCAAATCAGGATTCTTGATTTTCTTTCCTCTCTCAATCTGTTTCTCCCTCAGTAAAACCACCATTGACCCAGTTGCTTGAGCCAAACCTATGTGTCATCTTGACTCCTTCCTCTCCCTCACCTCCTACATCCACTTCATCATCAGGTCCTAATTCTTTTGCCTCCAGAACCTGTACTGAATCCACCCACTTCTCTCCATCTGTACTGCTACGTCCTGGGCCAAGGTACCATCATATCTCCCCTGAACAATTAAATGACCTCAGAACTGGTCACCATTGATCCATTCATCCACAGTTGCTTCTTATAGACTCCTGCATACAGCTGCAAAGGGCACTGTTAGACTTGTCTGTAGTTCTCATCACTCCTTGCTTGTATGGGAAGATTTGTAGAACTGACCACTGTTCAGTGTTTCTTATTTGCTTCTTTGTTTTTTTTCTGTCTCCCATTACAAGAGAATGTAATATCAGGAATATCTCCACCACCTCCAACCATGCCTGGCACATAATTTGCACTCAGTAAACCTTTCAATAATAATTAATGTTTATTATGGAAGGATATGAGATAGCAAGAGTCACAGTACAGTTGGCTGTTAACCATTTGGTTGCTAATAACTGAATGATGCTGACACCCATAGGCCCATGGGAAGCTGGTGCTTTCTTTTACATTCCAGATGCATTAGGAAGGGTGGGTGTTACGGATAGTTGCATTTATCTGTGAGTGGACAGGCAGGGCCACCATCCTGATGCAATCTCCAACGTGAACGAGAAAGAGTTCTCCTTCTCCCTGGAGATCTGTGTATGTCCCAGATCTTGAAAGTTTTGTCTTCCCTACTATTAAAGAAAGAGGAACATGTCCTCCTTACAAGGTCATTTTTTATTTTCATCCAAAGGGAATTTAGGTAATGATGGAAAGAAACATGCTATAGAATCCAGGGTAGAGAATGTCAAAGCCATGTCTGGACAGCAAAAGATTTCCAACATAAGACTGTTGGATTTTTTTTTCTTTTTTTTAACAAAAATGGTCTTTGGAATCTTCTCATTTCAATTCATGTGAAATGAAGAAAACATTAAAAAATAGAGTTTTGTGACCTTTTTTCCTTGAATATTACATTTTTTAAAGGAAAGTATTTTTTCTGTCATTCCTTTATAATGGAATGCTTTTGAGGGCATGTTACTTAGATGAAGCTGATGATCTTGTTGGAGGTTTGATAAAGTCAGCCAAGCTCTGAATTTCATCTCTTCCCTCTAGTACTGAACAGGCCTAGGAAATGACCATCCATCCACATCCTCCCTGCACACACCCCCAGCACAGGCTGGATTGAGAAGATGAAGTTAAAGCTTCCTTTGTTAAAGTACATATTTGGAGACATTTTATTCCAGTGTGTTTTTATTAGGCCTCAGTTTGCAGCTCTGTCCCCCATCCTTCCAGTGTTGTTCCAGCATTTTCCTATGCGTGCCTTTACTGAGCATCTACTGTATACCAAACACCTTGCTAGGTCCTGAAAAGACGAGTTGGACAAATTCCCAACTTTCAGAGATTCTATAAACAAGTGGGCAGAGAGACCAGTAAGCAAAAACCTGAAACAGAGGAGCCACTTGCAGACATGGAGGGAAGTGACAGTGGCAAAGCAATGAGAGTAGAAGGCAGCAGAACATAGTGGGAAGCACGTTTGGTATAGCCGTGAAGAGTGCAGGCTCTGGAACCAGCTTGTCTGGGTTCACAGTCTGGCTCTGCCACTCACAAGCCTTGTGACCTTAGGCTACTGACTTAGCCTCCCGTGCCTCAGTTTGCTCGCCTGTTAAAAGGGGTAATAAAGAAACCTACCCCATGGTTGCTGAGTGGGTAAAGGAAGCTTACAAAGCACTTGGAACTGTGCCAGACACATGGCTCCATAAAAACCGGCTTCTATTATTGTCAGTAGGGGTACTAGTACATAATTATTAATTCAATTGAATGAATACTACCAGTACTGCAGAGGAGTTGCCCCTAAGCCAGCCAGGGGAGTTCACAAAATCTCCCAGAAGAGGTAACTTTTGAACGGAGACTTGAAGATAAAGCTGATAGGTAGGGAAGGGCTGTGTTTGACAGAAAGAGCAGTATCTGGAAGGCACAGAGGAGTGAGAGAGTGGGGGGCATTGAGGCACCTGTAAAGAGGTCTGTGGGGCGAAAAGGACAAGATGTCTGGGAGAGAATGTCCACGAGCAGGAACCCAGCACACAAATACCCAGGAGAGGGGGCTTTTGAGACTGAGCTAAGGACCTTGAACTTGATCCTAAAACCCAGAGGAAGGACTTCCAGCAGGTTCCGGGCTCAGCATTTGAAACTGGGTGACAGCATCCCACAGTGGCCGTGGCCCCTGCCCGTTGATTCTGAATAGTGTCAGTGACCTTCCTGTGATCTGGGCAGGGAGTTCACATGTGTGAGTCTGATTTTTCTCACTAAGTGTGATTTCTTTGGAGACCACAGAATAATGAAATGAAAAGAATGTGTTTTCTTAATTTGTTTCTACTGCTTCTTCCTCTCTTCCTCCCTGCTCCTGCTAAGACAGAGAGATGTCTGCCTTACAGACCCCTTTCAGAATCTGGTAAATCTGATAGACCCTTCCCTCAGGAAGACAAGAGTTCCAAAGAACCCATGTTAACCTCCCTTGTACCCCCACTTTGGTTATCCAAACAGGCCACAGACCCAGTGCATCTTTTTCACCCCAGGCCTGTGTGTGGTGTTTGTGCTCTCACCCCAAACTGTTTTTAATTGAATTTTCTAGCATATCCCATTACTGTCCATCTACCATCACTGCTATTGTCTGACCATGTATCCTGTCAGCAGCTTGGTGGTTGTGATTAAAACTGAAAGTAATTATTTTCTTTTGGGCCATCCAAGTCTAACTGGAAGTATAGTGGCTGAGGACATGGGCTCTGGAGGCAGACCGTGTGGATCAGAAACCCAGCTCTGTCACTGTCTTATAACCTTGAGTAAGTTACTTGCCCTCTCTGTGCCTCAGTTTTCTCACTACATAAGGGGAATGATTAACATGCTTACCTCTTGAGGTAATTATGAGGGTTAACTGAGATGCCATAGGAAACTGCCAAGAATAGTTCCTGACACGTAGTAAGCACTATATATATATATACTACTATATATAATAAAATACTTTTGCTAATATTATGTTATTGTTTCTTCTAAATGACATCATGAATGGGGTAATGATGGATTACTGAGAGCAGCAAAATAGATGATTAAGGTCTCCAGGTGTATTTGACTTGTTTTGGAGACTTGCCAGTCCCCAGACTCCAAGAAAAGATTCCCTAGGCCTGTGCTGTCTGGTGTGGTGGTCACTAGCCACTGTGGCTATGACCTACTTGAAATGTGGCTAGCCCAAGTTGAGATGTACTAGGTCTTGGGGATTTAGTATGGGAAAAAAAGTAAAATGTCTCATTAATAATATTTTTATATTGATTCCATGATGAAATGATAATATTCTGAAAGATTGAATAAAATATATTATTAAAGTTAATCTCATCTGTTTCTTTGTGCTTTTTTAACATGGTTACTAGGAAACATAAAATGATATATGTGGCCTGTGTTATATTTCCATTGAACAGTACTGCCTAAGGCTCACCATTATCAATAAAACAAAACTTTGTGGTTATTTGTGACCAGGTGACCATTATTAGAAAGCCTTGGACCCTCCTCCCCCGCCCTTCAGGTTATTTGTTTGTTAATTGATCCTGTAAAGAGAGCCATGGCTATGTCCTGTAGGAAAGGGCTTGAGGGACAAAGGCAACAGCAACAACTAGGGAGGCTCCCACTGACTTGGAGGGGTTTGGATGAAAACACTACCATTTATAGTTATACTGGCCTCACACTTTCAGCACTCCCTCAAGTAGATGACAGAGTGCTTTCTATTCAGAAAGTTGAAATATGTAGGCAAAAAACTCCCTATTCCATCAGGAGCCAGAAAAAGCTTTGCTAATCTTTAACTAAAATAATAAATAGTCAAAATTATGGCAGTCACTTGGGATTGAAACCACACCCTTTCCAAATGTGATTTACTTCTGGAATGTTTGTTTCATTCTATTTCAGATTCATTGCGCCACTTAAAACCTGAAAACGGTGGGCTACAGAAAATCTTGCTGGTAAGTTCTCTTTCATTTTTAAAATAAAGTGACTGTTCGACATTACTTTTGAAATGAAACTCACACTTCTAACTTAGCTGCAACCACACCAGCACTGTGATTAGATGTCTCTTTTTTCACAGGTATTTTTCCCTCCCTGAAGTGATTTAAGGTATTTCTGTGCTTTAAAAAATAGATCAATCCATGTTCTTCTGCTAAAAACATGGTCAGGGAAAAGATCTATGATTACTTGCCAAATACTATTAAAATAAAAACTTTTTAAATAATGAAACTATTTCCAGACCCCTTTTGATCATCTTCTTGTTTGACGCAGTATCCAAAACTGCAGCAGTGTTACCTCCGCCAAGGAGTTCAGACAGTCCTTTGCACCGTGTTGTAGTGCAAATTGGCTCACAGGATAACATATTAGCTTTCTTACTGCTCTGTTTTTTCTCTCATCTTTCTTTGAATGTAAATGTGATTGTTGTGAGATAATAGATGTGCAGTAGTAGAAAACTTCCTTTAGGACTAGAAAAGTACTATACGTTTCAAGTGAAAAAAGTTATGGGACATTACTCCCTGATACTGTGGCAATATAGTTATTTGCAATGTGTAGCAGTTAGTTTTTGCTTCATAACAAACCACCCTAAAATTTACTGCCAGAAATTTGACCCAAAATATACTGATTTGAATACCAGTCATTGTTTTATCCTACAATTCGGTGGGTTGGCAATTTGGGATGGGCAGCTGTGGCGTTCTTCTGGTTCCAGCTGGTACCATTCATGTGTCTGCATTAGCTACAGGTCCAGGTCAGCTAAGCTTTGTTTCTGGGGATCACCAGGCTATTGGCTAGAGTGATGACCATGACTAAGACATATGTCTCACTGTCCTTTAGGCTACACTGAGTTTGGTCCTGTGGGGGTTGGGCTGGGTACCAACAGAGCACAGAAGCGTCTCAAGGCCCAGACTCAGAACTTGCTTCTTTTTTTTTAAAGATATCATGGATACACACTTTTATGAAGGTTTCACATGAAAAACACTGTGGTTACTACATTCACCCATATTAACAAGTCCTCCCCATACCCCATTGAAGTCACTGTCCATCAGTGTATTAAGATGTCACACTGTCACTACTTGTGTTTTCTGTGCTACACTGTCTTCCCTGTGACACCCCATGCCATGTGAGCTAATCATAATACCCCTCAATCCCCTTCTCCCTCCCTCTCCAGCAACCCTCCCCACCCCTCCCCTTTGGTAACCCTAGTCCCTTTTTGGAGTCTGTGAGGTTGTTGCTGTTTTGTTCCTTCAGTTTTGCTTCGCTGTTTCACTCCAAAAATGAGGGAAATCATTTGGTACTTGTGTTTCTCTGACTGGCTTATTTTACTGAGCATAATACCCTCTAGCTCTATCTATGTTGTTACAAATGGTAGGATTGGTTTTCTTCTTATGGATGAATAGTATTCCAAAGTGTATGTATCACCTCTTCTTTATTCATTCATCTACTGGTGGACACTTAAGTTGCTTCCATATATTGGTTATTGCAAATAGTGCTGCAATGACTGTACAGGTGCATATGTCTTTTTGAATCTGGGAACTTGTTCTCTTTGGGTAAATTCCTAGGAGTGGAATTTCTGGGTCTAATGGTATTTCTATTTTTAGTTTTTTGAGGAACCTCCATATAGCTTTGCACAATCATTGAACTAATTTACATTCCCACCAGCAGTGTAAGAGGGTTCCCTTTCTCTGCATCCTCACCAGCATTTGTTATTCCTAGTCTTTTCAATGTTGGCCATCCTAACTGGTGTGAGGTGATATCTCATTGTGTTTTTAATTTGCATTTCCTGATAATTAGCTATGTAGAGCATCTTTTCATGTGCCTATTGGCCATCTGAATTTCTTCTTTGGAGAAGTGTCTGTTCATACCCTCTGCCCATATTTTAATAGGGTTATTTGCTTTTTGGGTGTTGAGGCATGTGAGTTCTTTCTGTATTTTGGATGTTAACCCTTGTTGGATATGTTGTTTATAAATATATTCTCCCATACTGTAGGATGCCTTTTTGTTCTGCTGATGGTGTCCTTTGCTGTACAGAAGGTTTTTAGCTTGATGTAGTCCCACGTGTTCATTTTTGCTTTTGTTTGCCTTGCCTGAGGAAATGTGTTCAGGAAAAAGTGTTCATGTTTATATTTAAGAGACTTTTGCCTATATTTTCTTCCTAGAGTTTTATGGTTTAATGACTTACATTTAGGTCTTTGATCCATTTCGAGTTTACTTTTGTGTATGGATTAGGCAATAATCCAGTTTCATTCTCTTGCATGTAGCTGTCCAGTTTTGCCAACACCACTTGTTGAAGAGGCTGTCATTTCTGAATTGTATGTCCATGGCTCCTTTATCATAAATTAACTGACCATATGTGTTTGGGTTTATATCTGGGCTCTCTCTTCTGTTCCATTGATCTATGTTCTTGTGCCAGTACCAAATTGTCTTGTTACTATGGCTTTGTAGTAGAGCTTGAAGTCAGGAAGTGCAATCCCCCCAGCTTTATTCTTCTTCTCAGGATTGCTTTGGTTATTCTGGTTCTTTTGTGTTTCCATATGAATTTTAGAAGTATTTGCTCTAGTTTGTTGAAGAATGCTGTTGGTATTTTGATAGGGATTGCACTAAATCTGTAGATTGCTATAGTCAGGATGGCTATTTTGGCAATATTAATTCTTCCTACCCATGAGCATGAGATGTATTTCCATTTATTAGTGTCTTCTTTAATTTCTTTTATGAGTATCTTGTAGTTTTCAGAATATAGGTCTTTTACGTCCTTGGTAAGGTTTAGTCCTAGGTATTTTATTATTCTTGATGCAATTGTAAATGGAATTGTTTTCCTGATTTCTCTTTCTGCTAGTTCATCGTTAGTATATAGTAATGCAACAGATTTCTGTGTATTGATTTTGTATCCTGCACCTTTGCTGAATTCAGTTATTAGTTCTAATAGTTTTACGGTAGATTCTGTAGGGTTTTTATGTACAGTATCATGTCATCTGCAAATAGTGATACTTTAACTTCTTCCTTACCAATCTGGATGCCTTTTATTACTTTGTGTTGTCTGATTGTTGTGGCTAGGACCTCCAATACTGTGTTGAATAAAAGTGGGGAGAGTAGACATCCTTTTCTTGTTCCCAATCTTAAAGGAAAAGCTTTTAGCTTCTCACTGTTAAGTATGATGTTGGCCATGGGTTTATCATATATGGCCTTTATTATGTTGAGGTACTTGCCCTCTATACCCATTTTGTTGAGAGTTTTATCATGAACGGATGTTGAATTTTGTGAAATGCTTTTTTGGCATCTATGGAGATGATAATGTGGTTTTTGTGCTTCATTTTGTTGATGTGTATAATATTGATGGATTTTCAAGTATTGTACCATCTTTGCATCACTGGAATAAATCTTACTTGATCATGATGGATGATCTTTTTGATGGATTTTGAATTTGATTTACTATATTTTGTTGAGTTTTTTTGCATCTGTATTTGTCAGGGTTATTGGTCTGTAATTTTCTTTTTTTGTGGTGCCTTTGACTGGTTTTGGTATTAGAGTGATGCTAGTCTCACAGAATGAGTTTGGAAGTATTCCCTCTTCTTCTGCTTTTTGGAAAATTTAAGGAGGATCGGTATTAGGTCTTCACTAAACGTTTGATAAAATTCAGCGTGAAGCCACCTGGTCCAGGGATTTTGTTCTTAGGTAGTTTTTTGATTACCAATTCATTTTTGTTGCTGGTAATTGATCTGTTCAGATTTTCTGTTTCTTTCTGAGTCAGCTTAGGAAGGTTGTATTTTTCTAGAAAGTTGTCAATTTCTTCTAGGTTATCCATTTTGTTAGCATTTAGTTTTTTACAGTATTTTCTAATAATTCTTTGTATTTCTGTGGTGTCCGTAGTGATTTTTCCTTTCTCATATTTGAGTATGTTTATGTGTGTAGATTCTCTTTTTGTCTTGATAAGTCTGGCTAGGGGCTTATCTACTTTGTTTATTTTTCTCAAAGAACCAGCTCCTGCTTCCATTGATTCTTTCTGTTGTTTTATTCTTCTCAATTTTATCTATTACTGCTCTAATCTTTATTATGTCATTCCTTCTACTGACTTTGGGCCTCATTTGTTCTTCTTTTTCTAGTTTCATTAATTGTTAGTTTAGACTGTTCATATGGGGTTGTTGTTCTTTCCTGAGGTAGGCCTGTATTGCAAGATATTTCCCTTTTAGCATAGCCTTCGGTGCATCCCACAGATTTTGCGGTGTTGAGTTATTGTTGTCATTTGTCTCCATATATTGCTTGATCTCTGTTTTTATTTTGTCATTGATCCATTGATTATTAGGAGCATGTTGTTAAGCCTCCATGTGTTTGTGGGCTTTTTTGTTTTCTTTGCATAACTAATTTCTAGTTTCATACCTTTGTGGTCTGAGAAGCTGGTTGGTACAATTTCAGTCTTTTTTAATTTACTGAGGCTCTTTTTGTGGCTTAGTGTATGATTTATTCTTGAAAATGTGCCATGTGTACTTGAGAAGAATGCGTATCCTGCTGCTTTTGGGTGGAGCATTCTGTAGATGTCTGTTAGGTCATTCTGTTCTAATGTATTGTTCAGTGCCTCTATCTCCTTACTTATTTTCTGTTTGGTTGATCTTTCCTTTGGAGTGAGTGGAGTGTTAAAGTTTCCTAGAATGAATGCATTGCATTCTATTTCCCCTTTTAAATCTGTTAGTATTTGTTTCACATATGTTGGTGCTCCTGTGTTGGGAGCATAGATATTTATAATGGTTATAACCTCTTGTTGGATCAACCCCTTTATCATTATGTATGTCCTTCTTTTTCTCTTGTTACTTTATTTGTTTTGAAGTTTAGTTTGTCTGATACAAGTACTGCAACTCCTGCTTTTTCCTCCCTATTAGTTGCATAAAATATCTTTTTCCATCCCTTCACTTTTAGTATGTGTATGTCTTTGGGTTTGAAGTGAGTGTTTTATAGGCAACATAGAGATGTG